AATGAACAAATAAATGCACTTTCTGTAATCAACACCCAGAAACACTTGACCACCTTTTCATGTCATGTAAATTTGTAGAGAGCCTCTGGCAAGATGTGATAAAGAATCTAGGGGAACCGCTTCAATTGGATAAAGTACCAGGTAAGCTGTGTGCAGTTTTGGGAGATCCGGAATACAGTTGGCAAATTAACTTTATTAGATGGATGGTGAGAAAACATATTTATTTCTCAAAATATAAAAGTACCAAGCCAACTTACCAAAACCTAATGCATTTATTGCGGAAACATTTCCAAATTGAAGGTCAAATTGCTAAACAAAATGAAAAGGAAAATGCACACTACGAAAAGTGGTCTCCCCTGATTCCCTACACCATAGAATAAATAATGAAATGTATGTATATGATGAGTTTCATTTTTATGTTAGAAATGTATGCAATTATTGAACAGCCCAAATAAAATTGCTTAAATACAAAAAAAACCAAATGAACAACAGAAATTGTTTAGTAGGTTTCAACACAAACAGCGTAATCCAATGTGAGTTAGTATTTACTCTGTACATAAAATTTAACTACATTGTATGTATGCTCATGGTAACAAAGAATGCAAGAAAGCTGTTCATCCTGGGGTTTGTAGGTACATGGATATCCAAAGAACATCTTAAAATCATATTATATATAGAGGATATCTCATGACTCCTCCAACAATATCAAATTTATTAAATGCTACACAAGTTTAATAAATTAACAAGTTTATATTATGATCCTGAATTTTTATGCCATATATTCGTTTACCATATTGAGATTAAGAAATATTTTTATTTTTGAAGCAATTATATTTACAGTTTTGAGGATGCATTTGTGAACTAATTATTAATTTTGAAGTTAATTCACACATGTTTGACCTGACATCTGAAACTACTAGAAATATTAAAATTAATATAATTCCTAGCATTAATTCTAGAAATATGATGTCACCAGTGTGAATCACATGTGGTACTTACTTCTTATATAGTATTACAGGGGCACTTCCAGTTAAGCCTAATCTCACAACAAATTTACTTTCTGCATTAAAATTACAATGGATAACAAAAAATAGATTAACTTTGTAAACAACATAAACAATAGTGTCCCATGATTCTTTGGTGCAATCCCTGGACTTGGAAGGTTCCTTTTTAACTTTGCTGTGAAATATTTGTACTTTCTTTATATCGTAGTATTCCTGTGAATTATTTGTTCCACAGAAAAGACTTACCTGTAAATTGTTTTGTGATGTGATCCATCTACCACCAACACCAAGACTCATTATAATCTCATGTTTACTTGGTAAATGTTTGTCTTTCTTACTTTTTGCAGGACTTCCAGTGATATTCTCATCTTCATACATATGCATAGAAACTATGAACATGAAATACATCAAGACAATACGTAAATGTGATGTGATGTTCCTTTGAGCAGGTGATGTGTAAATGAAACTTACACGTCAACTCTCCTCCAAACCATAGACCCTCTAGAGGGTCTATGTCCAAACATACTTTTTGCACAAACAGTTTTTTTTCTTCTTTTTTACTCTTGTTGATGATACCCATATAATTCACAGAGTAAACAATGTTACACAACAGGTATGTGTTTCCCTCTATCCAAATCTTCAAAATACTGTAAATGCATTAATTATCGTTTTTAATTTTGCTGTTTTTGCTGATTTGGTAAATTCTGCTGAATTGAACTTGTGAAATAGCAATCTAGCAATAAATTCCATTGTTTTCCTGCCAAGTTTGTGAATTTGAAACCAAAAAAATCAAAAGGGGACATTATTTAGAGTGAAAATAAATGATTTTACAGTATGCACCCTATAAACTGAAGAATTGATTGTTGAGACTGCCTGATTGCTAACTAAAACACAAAATACATAAAGACCACTAAAATGTGCAAATGAGGTACCTCCATTATCAATAATGACATCCACTCCCAGTCCTCCAGTTTCTTCCAAACAGCTGTTAAGTAGTGCGTTTTTCTTACCTCCAATTAAGTCTATTACATGTGCTGGAAATGAGAAAAAATTTGGTAAAACAAACTTTGTATTTGGAAAATTTATTTATTTTAAATAAACATCCCCATCTGAGCCAAGTTATCATCCAATAATGGTTAGTCCAGAGTCCTTTATGTAATACCCTGAAACGATTTATAACATACATTCGGAGTGGATCCAAGAATTCCCCACTTATGCCGTAGTCAGATTCACCAGAAAGTACAAAAAATTGGTACAAGCTTGGTGCAGTAATTCTCAAAAACAATACTGTTTTTTTTGTTTTTATATACTTTTTATTAGGCGCTTCATTGATACATTACATTGTTATGAAATTACATTGAGTTGTTCTATTCCTGTATTCTATTTTACATATATAGTAGTACCTCTTTTTTTATCTTACATATGGTAACAAAGGAGACCACTTTTTTAGATGTGAAACCATCTTATTGTACTTTTTTGCAATATAATTTTCACATTGGTAAATTTTTTACAGTAAGATAGGAAGCCAAGGAAATTTGGCTTAATTTCCTTCATTTTACAAAAGTATACATGTTTTCTTACCAACAGAGATATAAAGTTTACAATCAAAGTATCATCTGGGTTAGATATAATCATACACAATCTACTTGGTGGTGACTTTAATTTATATAAAGTGGTTCGCCCCACCAAAAGAGGATTTCACTCCAGAGAGATATAACATATTGACATTCATAAAACAAATGTCATAGCTTTCGGCTTCCCCGTCACAGAATGTACACTGTGGGCTGACATACTTCTGAGGGTTTATTT